TATTTGGCTGGCCCTAAAAAACTAATTTTTAAACACACAAAACATTTACTGCCATTAAATGAGTCTCAGGAAAAGAACCTTGTATGTGTTCAACAAGAATGCACACGGTTGCTCAGCTTCTTCAGCTCCGTGGGCTGTCATTTTCTCTCAGGTCCCATACTGCAACCCAACCCAGGTCATCTCTATCCCTTATGTTCTCTTGTCTCAGGACCCTGCCATACTTCTCCCGTTCATCTCCACTCACTGCGCATGTCTCCGAGAGGAAGCCAGGCTCTCTTTAGTCATAGTTTCCACAATACTACATGTTTTTTTTCTCTCTTTCAATGACCAGATTTTGTAATGATTTCTATTTTTTCCCCTGTATTTATTTTTTTTCCATTTTTAAATTACTGTGTGTGTACAGTACGTGTTTACATTCCTTGTGAGGAGCTGGTACATGTATATAACATATCTTAATTCCTATTACTTCCCCCTTCTCTTCCCCTCCCCTTTTATCTCTTGCTCCTCTTTGTAAATATCTCTCTCTGTGAAGCTGTTGATTAATGTTTTACAGCTCCAACCACGCTAAAATTCCATGAGAGCATAGACTATCTTTGTTCTGTTTATTTTTAACTATAAGTCTCTTTTCCTTAGTATATCATATGTTGTCAGTACTCAATGAAAGCATATTTTTACACATGTATTTTATTTATTTGATTTTTGAGACAGGGTCTCACAATACACTCAGTCTCACTTTGAACGCCTATTGCCCAGACTGGCCTTAAACTTGTGGTAACCCTCCTGAGAGCTGGGATTATAGGCATGTGCCACCATGACAGATTTGGAAAAGATATTTTAAAAGATTGTTTATTTTATCCTTTCTCTGAACTACTTTTTTTTTTTTTTTGGCAGAACCAGGGATTGAACTCAGGCCCTCATGCTTGCCGGGAAGAGCTTATTCTACTGAGCCATCTCCCCGGCCCTAAACTGCTCTTAACATGAAACATGTAGAAAGTTTTTTGCATTTCATTTCATTCTACTTTTAAAATGTACTTAAGCTTCAGGCAATTGTTAAAAATGTGACCATCAGGTGTAGTGGTCTAGACCTGTAATCCCAGCACTTGGGAGGCTGAAGAAGGAGGATCACAGTGAGTGAGACCCTCTTTCAACACCCCCCCCAACACACATGCAATCAAAAGAAGTGACTAGCCGGTGAGATGGCTCAGTGGCCTAAGTGCCTGCCTGGCAAGTGCACGGCCATGAGTTCCATCCCTGGTACAAAAAACAAAACAAAAACAAAAACAAAACAAAAAACTAGTGACTGATTTTTCTTCTGGAAATCAATGCAAACTAAGCAAACACTGTGGGCAGAAAACACGAGTCTAAATTCCACCAGGGTAGTTTATCTCATTATTAGGTTGGACTAGTGCTGTGAGAAGAAAAGGGGAAAGAGTCATCTTCTTTCTCCTTCAGAAGAAGTACCTCCTGCTGATTCTGATGAGAATGTAAAAGGAATAATTTTTGAATTTTTACTGTCCTCCCCCCCCCCTTTTTTTTTTTTTTTTTTTTTTCTTTTTCAGACAGGGCCTTTTTTGTAATTTAGGCTGACCCTGAACTCATTTCATTATGTAAGCCAAACTGGCCTCAAATTCAGTGCTGGGATTATAGGCACACCCTATACCATAACCAGCATGACACACAGTACATGATACACTTATGCAAATTTTCAGGAAATCAAAGAAGTAATTCTTACCTGTGGATGGTATCAGACTAAACATTAATCCCCACAAGAAATTTATTTATTTATTTGAGACAGGATTTTGCTGTGTAGTTGAGGCTGGCCTTGAATTTACTGTGTAGCCTGGGCTGGCCTTGAACCTGCTTCAGCCCTTCAAGTACTGGCATCACAGGTATATGCCACCATGCCTGGTACTACTCCCACTTTCTTTGGGAGGCTGAGCCTTTACTGGGGATCCTTCTTAGCAATAATTGTCCCTCAGATAAACCTCATCAGTTCTGATGCTGCCACTGCCCAAAGCTCCAGGATCCTTCTTATTCTCCCACAAGCCTCTCCTTGGTATTCTGTTTCCTCTTGCTTTTCTGAGCGGAGGATGGAATAAATATTCCTTCCTCACATTTTGGTAGGCTAAAATAATTTTGTTTCTATTTTTGTCTTTTTGAGACAGGGTTTCACTATGCAATTCAGGTTGGCCTTGAACTTGCAGAAATACTCCTTCCTCAGCCTTCCAAGTGCTGGGATTACAGGCATGAATGGCTACAATGTTTAAAATCCACTTTATTATAAAACTAGAGGAAAATAAAACAAATAGAAAAGTACAGAAGAATGAAACAAATTTACAGAGTATGCATTTTTTATCCTTTGAGAACTGACATTAAAACATAATTCTGACTCAAGTTTCTGCACTTGGATGGCCCCCACATCCACCGCCCCTGTCAACCTGCTGTCTCCATTACCTTTCACTCTTCCTTCATAGGAGCCTCACCTGTTTTCAGTAATATGGCTGGAGATCATCCCATGACTGAAGTAACTTCTGAATGGCTGAAAAGAAGGCAACACTACATATGAGATCACAATTTGTAAAACGATCCTAAGACCCCTCATCACACATGTACATACCCACCCAGCAAGGGGATATGCTATGTGTGCATGTGCACATGTGAGAGAGCAGGGACAGGGAGTTTTAGGTTATTGTACGAATACAAAAACCTTGTGTGGTAGACAGCAACTGAGTTTTGAGGACAGGAACAAACAAACAAAACATCAACGAAGAAAAAAATGCTGCAAAAAAAAAAAAGCAAATTATTTTTCAAATTTATAGTTTTTAACTACTGAGAGAAAACTGGACCAACTACACCTATGGTCCAAATTGTATCTCTATGGAGACCTTGTTTTTCTACTATTTCAACAATTTTTCTACATTTTCAATAAATATATCAATTATAATATGCTAATTTAAAATGAGCAACAAGGAAGAATCACAGGAATATAGTACACTGACTTGAGTTATTATCTATTTCTTCCTTGTAACGGTCTTTTTTGTCTGTTATACTCTGAGTAACTACTTTAAAG